ACATTACAAATCCAGTGATATCTCACATCAATATGCTTGGATCTAGAATAGTATGTTGAATTCTTAGAGAGGTGATTGACACTTTGACTATCACAGTAAATAGTATATCCTTCCTGTTTCAAGCCCAATTCCTGTAAAAATCTTTTCATTCATAAAGTTTTCTTACAGGCTTCAGTAATTACTATGTATTCTGCTTTTGTGGTTGATAGAGTAACACAATTCTGTAACTTTGATTGTCAAGAGACTACTCCCCCTACAAATGTCATTAAGAACCCCGAAGTAGATTTCCTAGGATCAGTATCACCTACCATGTTTGCATCTGTGTAGCCTTCTAACATAGGTTTATCATTGCCAAAACATAAACATAACTTGGAAGTATCTCTTAGATATCTTAATATCCATTTCACTACTGCCCAATGTTCCTTTATAGGATTAGAGAGAAATCGACTGACAACTCTAAATACATAAGTTATATCTGACCTAGTATAAACCATAACATACATCAAACTGCCTACTGTATATGAGTAAGGCACTCTGGACATTTCTTCTTTTTCTTTCTCGTTTGTAGGATATTGTTTCGAACTAAGCTTGAAATGATCTACAAGTGGAGAACAAACTGCTTTGGCTTTACTCATATTGAATCTTTCAAGAACCTTTTTAATGTAAGTCTCCTAAGATAGTCAAATCTCCCTTCTCTTCCTATCATGAAAAATCTTCATGCCAAGTATTTGTTTCACCGATCCCAAGTTTTTCATGGCAAAAGACTTACTTAGCTCTCTTTTAAGCTTTTTAATTTTACTAGCATCATGGTCAATAATTAGCATATCATCAACATATAACAGTAGAATAATAAAATCATCATCTAAAAATTTCTTCATAAACACACAATGATCAGATGTAGTTCTATCATTCCCTTGGCTCATCATAAAGGAATCAAACTTCTTGTATTATTGTCTAGGTGCCCGTTTAAGTCCATATAAGTTTTTCCTAAGTTTACATACTAGATTTTCTTTTCCCTTAACTTTGAAAC